TGTGTGTGTTTGTGTGTGTGTGTGTGTGTGTGTGTGTCTGTGTGTGTGTGTGTGCAAGAAACACTAAATAAGAATCACCATCGACACCTGCAATGGAGTTTCTTATTTGTTGTCTCTGATAAATTAATAAATTAGACAGCATACCCAGATAAAAAAGTCACCACTCATCACTGATATATGTTGCAATCTAAGGGCCATTCTATTTTCTTATGAATGTCACTGTGGTTTCAGAGCAACACATTCCCAGTGTTTACTCCCAGTTCCTTTAAAAGCTCCCATGACTTATTAGGATGCTTCTTTTTAGCCTATGACACTTTGCACATTAGCATGAATCCCAGTGACAAGAGCTTTCATTGGAGGTGAAATCAACTAAAACACCTTACAAATAAAGTGGTATATATTATAAATGCACCTGTCCTTGAAACTCTCACAAATATTCAGCAAACTTTCTAATCACAGTTGTAAAAGATGTTTTAAGACCATAGACTACCATATACATTACATTATCATGTAATGTTTTTTGAGCTTTACTCAAGCTGTGGTAGAAACCAGGGTGGCGTGGTGGCTCAGTTGATAGTGCTGTCATCTCAAGAACCGTTCTGGTTTAAGACCTTTCTGTGTGGAGTTTGCATGTTGGCATGGGTTTCCTCCAGGTGTTCTGATTCCTGCCACAATCCAAAGACATTAGCATAGGTGAACTGGAAACACTAAATTGTTGATAGGTGTGAAAGTGTAAGTCCATCTATTCAGGATGTTTCCCTGTCTATGGGCCGAGATGCTGGGATAGGCTCCTGCATTTCCATGACCCTACATAGATTTTCAGTGATGGCTTCACGCACAATGCTATTGCATAACTACAGAAATCTTCAGAAGTCATATGAACTGCTTTTACAGTGCTTTCTGAAGCTTGACAGTACAAATCACAATCTTTCATTTTACTTGATTTGACTTTGTCTGGAAAAAAGCAACTCTAACAATCTGCTTTTGTGTTCCATGAAAGGAAACTCAAACAGGATTTGAATGATATGAGGAGTAAATGATAACAACATTTTCATTTTGAACTATTCCTTTAACACAGTGGTTCTCAACAAGTGGGTCCCGATCCAAAAATATGTCACAGAACTATTATGGATTTAGACAGCAATGGAACAAATAATACAATGCAACCAAAGGTTTTTTTTTTTTTTTTTTTTTTTTTTTTACAAGTTATTGCATTAATAATTAATGTTAATTCAATAAATTATTGCATAAAAAAACAAAGATTTTTTTTTTTTTTTTTTTTTTTTTTTTACAAGTTATTGCATTAATAATTAATGTTAATTCAATAAATGATTGCATATATATATTGCATATATTAATACATTTCAGTGTTTCATTTTTCAGTGACTTTTTTTTTCCATTCGTTAAACCAAGGGTTCCCAACTACATTCCTGAAGCCCCACCAACACTGCATGTTGAACGCTTTAAAATTTTCGCCTACTATATAGTATGGAAGTATGCGATTTCGGACGCAGCTCATGTCTCCTTAATCAAACACACCTGATTCAGATCATCGGCTCATTAGTCGAGACTCCAAGACCTGAAATGGGTGTGTCAGACAAAGTAGAGATGCAGAATGTGCAGTGTTGGGGGGCTCCAAGAACATGGTTGGGAACCACTGCGTTAAACAATATTGGTACTGCGTTGGGTTGCAACCTGATGTTCCATTTAGCGTGGCATTATTCTTTCACATCATTTCCTAGTCACTGCTGGTAAATTCCTAGTCACTAACTAAAACAGCAACTGACGTTGTAAAAAAGATTGCTCTACGTTTTCTGTTATCTTGACCATGACCTCTAACACTTAACCATTTCTGTTTTTAGGTGTCACAACTGTCCTGACCATGACCACATTGAGTATAAGTGCCCGGAACTCACTTCCAAAGGTGGCCTATGCAACAGCTATGGACTGGTTTATGGCAGTGTGCTATGCTTTTGTCTTCTCTGCTCTCATTGAGTTTGCCACTGTCAACTACTTCACAAAGCGCAGCTGGGCCTGGGATGGTCAGAAGGAGGCCCAGGAGATGCGGGTAAGATAGGCTATTTAATACACTAGTAGTAGGCTGTCACAATGTTGTGAAAGTACAGTAATACCTGTACAGCTGTGTACAGTGAGCGTAAGTGCTTATATCCTATAAGACCATGTCATAGAGATAATGGATGTGTTATCACTTGAAAAAAATCTGAAAGAAGTTACCTTTCTCTTTCTTTTTCTAAAAATGCAGAACGCTTTACTAAAGCTTGTGTACATTTATAGTGTTTCTCAGTGTGATCAATCACTGTTTCATTTTCCAGTATCGATTTTTTTTTTTTTACAAAGTTATTCCCCACAATAAGCAATAAATATTCAGCATATAAATCTTAAACTAATGTGGGCTTTCTTGTTAGCAAGCTTGTCACTATTGTGAATTTTCATTGAGGTTGTTCCTGTTCAATAAGTTTGATGCTGCCAGCCGTCTCTCTCTCTCTCTCCCCATTGCTTTTACTTGCTCTTCATTATTGCCACCCTCTGTCCCGGCCCTGATAACCTCTGAAAACTGAAGTGCTCAGAGCTAATGGATGGGAATTGCCACAGAGAAAGCTCAGCGAGGTGCCGTATTGCTCACAATACGAGGAGATATTGTACCTGTAAACCAGCAATATGAATTCCTGTTTCGTACTGTTGTTGTAACCTACGTGTAATCTGTCGAGAAACATTTTACTGCTTCATTAACCGTTCAGTAGAATGGAAATTTTGTGTTTCTAAAGAAAGCATCGAGAGCAACTGCCGAGTCTCTCACAAGAGAGTACAATGCAAAACTGATAGCACATACTGTATAGACTTGGACATGGAAGTTAAAGCCGGCTGTTAAATATTGAAGCTTTAAAGTGACAATTTCTGTTAAGAGTAAAAGCTTAATAAACATTCATTTAAACTTCATTTAAAGGCATCTGCTAAATGCAAACATGTAAATACAGTTATACATGTAATATAGGCTTATATAATTTAATTAAAGCAGTTGACATGATTGCTGAAATTACGGGGGTAAAATAGTACACTGCAAAAAATGGCTTATCTTACTTAGTATTTTTGTCTTGTTTCTAGTCAAAATATCTTAAATCAAGATACTTTTACTAGATAAGCCAAATTACTTAAGATATTTAGTCTTGTTTCCAGTGGAAAAAAACGAAATTAAGTGCATTTTGCTTAAAACAGGTAAAATTATCTGCCAGTGGGGTAAGTAAAATATTCTTAAAACAAGAGTATTTTACTTACCCCACTGGCAGATAATTTTACCTGTTTTAAGCAAAATGCACTTAATTTCGTTTTTTTCCCTGGGAACAAGACTAAATATCTTAAGTCATTTGGCTTATCTAGTAAAAGTATCTTGATTTAAGAATTTTTAGATATTTGACCCCGGATGACCTGGAGGCAGTGGGGGCAGGTTTTGCCCAGCTGGCTGGGTCTCCAGTTTTCCACATGGTAGCTGGTGCAATAGACGGATGCCACATCCGGATCAAGCCACCAGCAAGTGATGCCCCATGCTATTGTAATAGGAAGCTGTTCCACTCTGTTCAGCTGCAGGCCATCACCGACCACGAGGGGAAGTTCCTCGATATCTTTGTTGGATATCCCGGGTCTGAAAAGCACAATATCAAGACAGTCAATTACATTCATTAGATTACTGCATTACTATGACATGGAAAAACATTAGCATGATCAAATCATGAACTAATAAAAATTTTGGGGTGAACTAATTAAAAAAAAAATCTTACTTTATATTTTTGTTTTAGGTTCTCCCACTTTCTTTTGACTTGAGCGGCAGAAATTTTGCCCTCAAGTCCCTGCTCTGTCACAATAAATGCACAGAAATCAAGCATAAAAAGGCAGTAAGACCTTTGCTTGAAGTGTTAGGATTTACTACGTTCAGTGTCAACAGCACCTGAATAAAATTACATTTTACATGTTTACTCATTAAACTGCTTAACAACGAACGTCTCCGTTAAAAAAAGCAGTTAACAAGCTGATGTACAACAGCATTGACACTAGCTCGATCTGTTCGTTAACTTGATGTGCTCAGTAATAACAATGATTAAACATCTTTTTACAGCCGATTCACGAAATCATCTCATCGATTTACAATGTTTAAACTTTCAATAAGTCAGCCGTTCACTTAGATCATGTTAAACAAGTGCAATTTAACCACAATGAACAACGTTTTTCCCTGAGGTACTTACACTTGAAAAGAGCCGCGTCGCCGCCTTCCGCCATTTTCGAATATGACGCCTCCTCTCCCGTGGCCTCATGGGATAGTAAAGTGTCCATCGTATGCATGCTACGGAATTCGGGCGGAAGTAGTAGGTCATCCGGGTACTTCTCGCCTACTGTTTTTCGAATACTATGAATTCGGACATACTACTCGCCTCGCATACTGTTTTTCGCCTACTATATAGTATGGAAGTATGCGATTTCGGACGCAGCTCATGTCTCCTTAATCAAACACACCTGATTCAGATCATCGGCTCATTAGTCGAGACTCCAAGACCTGAAATGGGTGTGTCAGACAAAGTAGAGATGCAGAATGTGCAGTGTTGGGGGGCTCCAAGAACATGGTTGGGAACCACTGCGTTAAACAATATTGGTACTGCGTTGGGTTGCAACCTGATGTTCCATTTAGCGTGGCATTATTCTTTCACATCATTTCCTAGTCACTGCTGGTAAATTCCTAGTCACTAACTAAAACAGCAACTGACGTTGTAAAAAAGATTGCTCTACGTTTTCTGTTATCTTGACCATGACCTCTAACACTTAACCATTTCTGTTTTTAGGTGTCACAACTGTCCTGACCATGACCACATTGAGTATAAGTGCCCGGAACTCACTTCCAAAGGTGGCCTATGCAACAGCTATGGACTGGTTTATGGCAGTGTGCTATGCTTTTGTCTTCTCTGCTCTCATTGAGTTTGCCACTGTCAACTACTTCACAAAGCGCAGCTGGGCCTGGGATGGTCAGAAGGAGGCCCAGGAGATGCGGGTAAGATAGGCTATTTAATACACTAGTAGTAGGCTGTCACAATGTTGTGAAAGTACAGTAATACCTGTACAGCTGTGTACAGTGAGCGTAAGTGCTTATATCCTATAAGACCATGTCATAGAGATAATGGATGTGTTATCACTTGAAAAAAATCTGAAAGAAGTTACCTTTCTCTTTCTTTTTCTAAAAATGCAGAACGCTTTACTAAAGCTTGTGTACATTTATAGTGTTTCTCAGTGTGATCAATCACTGTTTCATTTTCCAGTATCGATTTTTTTTTTTTTACAAAGTTATTCCCCACAATAAGCAATAAATATTCAGCATATAAATCTTAAACTAATGTGGGCTTTCTTGTTAGCAAGCTTGTCACTATTGTGAATTTTCATTGAGGTTGTTCCTGTTCAATAAGTTTGATGCTGCCAGCCGTCTCTCTCTCTCTCTCCCCATTGCTTTTACTTGCTCTTCATTATTGCCACCCTCTGTCCCGGCCCTGATAACCTCTGAAAACTGAAGTGCTCAGAGCTAATGGATGGGAATTGCCACAGAGAAAGCTCAGCGAGGTGCCGTATTGCTCACAATACGAGGAGATATTGTACCTGTAAACCAGCAATATGAATTCCTGTTTCGTACTGTTGTTGTAACCTACGTGTAATCTGTCGAGAAACATTTTACTGCTTCATTAACCGTTCAGTAGAATGGAAATTTTGTGTTTCTAAAGAAAGCATCGAGAGCAACTGCCGAGTCTCTCACAAGAGAGTACAATGCAAAACTGATAGCACATACTGTATAGACTTGGACATGGAAGTTAAAGCCGGCTGTTAAATATTGAAGCTTTAAAGTGACAATTTCTGTTAAGAGTAAAAGCTTAATAAACAATATAACTTAATTTAAAGGCATCTGCTAAATGCAAACATGTAAATACAGTTATACATGTAATATAGGCTTATATAATTTAATTAAAGCAGTTGACATGCATGCTGAAATTACGGGGGTAAAATAGTACACTGCAAAAAATGGCTTATCTTACTTAGTATTTTTGTCTTGTTTCTAGTCAAAATATCTTAAATCAAGATACTTTTACTAGATAAGCCAAATTACTTAAGATATTTAGTCTTGTTTCCAGTGGAAAAAAACGAAATTAAGTGCATTTTGCTTAAAACAGGTAAAATTATCTGCCAGTGGGGTAAGTAAAATACTCTTGTTTTAAGAATATTTTACTTACCCCACTGGCAGATAATTTTACCTGTTTTAAGCAAAATGCACTTAATTTCGTTTTTTTCCCTTTCTTTATCTTAAGAATTTTAAGATCTTTTGACTAGAAACAAGACAAAAATACTAAGTAAGATAAGCCATTTTTTGCAGTGTACAAACAGTTTTTGCACAATATTTGAAAACAGGAAGTGTTTATTATCATCAGACTTACTTTGTCAAATGTGATTCTGTCATTCATGTGATTCTGTTCGTCTGTGCTTGTGGTCTTAAAACTACTGATAATTGGTTATGTGCAACAGGCTTCACTACACTTCTCTAATGCCAGCGGTACACCCAAAGAAAAGCTATTGACTGCTTTGATACATGTTTAAAATTGCTGGACCTTTGAGATAGAAGAGAACTGAATGGCAATTTATAGCCAAAAAGAGAATGATCGAAAGCAGAAGAAAGCACACAGATGAAAGCTAAATTGAAAACAGGCTCACTGGGGTCTTTGGCTAAAGAGAAAGCCGAAAACTTATTTGTTATAGTTAAAAAGAAAGAAAAGAAAAAGAGCAGCACAAGCAACAGAAAAACAGATGAGACAAGCAGGAAGAAGGATAATATGTTTGTAAGGAAAGGAAAAAGGAATGATTAAAGGAACACAAAATGGGTTGGTATTGACCACTGGCCCCATGATGAGAAATTAAACTGTTGAGATCTCCTCATTTGTTTTACCGCAAGGGTTGGTGGGGTCACATGGTCACTGCTGAGCAAGAGGTGTGATAGCAAGAGCGTGAGAGTTGCCTAACTACAGACATTATCTAACAGAACTCGCTCTATACTGGACACTGGTTACTATACTCATTCCTGACTGTAATTCGGATTCGAGTTGGACACTGACCTTGGTGCTCTCTGGGGTTCACTTCTCTTTGGAGCACAGAATGGCATTACAGATTGAGGGTGATGATTTAACTTAGTGGGGAGAAGGTCCTGCACCAGACGGTTGCTCTTTCTAAGTCTCGCCACCACTGCTGACAGTTACTCTCAATTGTTGGTGATAAGAGTAGTAGTGATTGTACTGATTTCATGATATGACTACTGTAACATACTGAATTTGTTATTTACTCTCATTCCTAAGTAGAATGCTGTTTGCACATAAAATGTAGACTTACAGTGAAGAAAGGACCCGCACCATATTTAGAGACCAGAATATCATAGGCCTCCTTAACACCTGGCATTAACATGCATTCGTATCCAGATAGCACTTACTTAGTAGTAAGTTGGCACTTATTTATTACATGAGAGGTTGAGTTAACTGATATATTTCTGTCACGTGCTAAATTACAGTAGCTTACCACTGTCCCCTCTGTAAAAGATGTTAATTTGGTTTAGGAAAAAAAATGGTTTTAAAGCATTCTTTTTGGGGAGACATATGAGAGAAACGGCATTCTATGTGTAATCCAGTGAAATCATTATTTGATTATCAGATACTGTTGATTAAATGTAAAACTGTGAATAAAGGCCGTTGTGGTTACCATAACTTTACCATGACAAGAGAAAAAAAGTAGCAACAGTGAAGTTAAATTTATACCTTTTTTTTATTATTTATTTCAGCATGGGGACAGAAGAGGCATTAGTTAATAAATAAAAAAACAAGTAATGTGTGCTATTTACTTGGAAAAAGTAACTCAGATATTTTGTTGTAAATTTTTTTTTAAAAGTAATGCATTTGTCACGGTACGCTGTTGGAAGGAGCACAAGGGAAATGTGGAGTATAATCAATAGTCTTTAATCCATAGAACAAAAAAAAATCCACACAATAGGCACAATGCACACACACGTACTCAACGAGTAGACCCGACGAAGAACTAAGGAACAGACAGGAACTAATATACACAGGATAATAAGGAACTCAGGTGCAAGGAATCATAAGGCAAACTAAACAAGAACAGGAAAAAGACCATAAAAGGAAACACAGGAAGAACTACGGGGGCAAAACGGGTCCAAAAGTCTGACATTTTGCCCCCTCCCAGAAGGTGCGTCCTCGCACCGTAGATACAATAGAAGGAGGGATGGGTGGGAACTTGGGAGGAAGCTCAGGAGGAGGACGGACACCCGGCAGGGGGCCGGCATACAGAGACCATGGGGGAGACAAAGGAGGGAGGAGACAGGAGGGGCTTGGAGCAGGAGGAGCCAAGCAGGACCCAGTCCACAGCCATGATGGCGACCCACGGTGGAGCCGACGGAGGGAGGAGCCATGGAGGAGGAATGGCCGCAGACTCCAGGGGGCCGACCAACGGTGGCGGAGCAGGTGGTGGAGGAGCCCGAGGCGGAGACAGAGAGCCGATGAGCCAGGGCGACGGGGAGGATCCGGAGGGCCAAGGCGGAGCAGATATCGCCGGCGACTGACGCAGAGGCGTGGATCCGAAAAGCCGCGGTGGAGCCGGAGCGACAGAGGACTGAGGAGGAGCCGAAGGGATGAAGAAGCCTAACGGAGCCGGAGCCGGAGCAACGAAGGGACGTGGCGCAGCCGGAGGAGTGGAGTCCCGAGCAGGATGGTCGACGCCAGACCAAGGCGGAGCCGGAGGGACGAGGGAGCCCGCTGGAGCTAGTGGACTGCCGGGCCACGGCGGAGAAGAGGGAGCTAGGAGCCATGGTGGAGCCGATGGGTCCACGGGCCGAGGCAGAGTCCGGGACTTAGAGGCTAGAGGCGGAGTCAAGGGATGCTACAGCCCCGGTGATGCTGGAGAATGGCAGTCCTGTGGAGCTTGCACCGTGCTGATGGTGGGCTGAGGGCGAGCAGAGGGGCTGCCAGATGACAGCGGAGGAGGAGGCAGGAGTGGGTAAGAGGTCGGGCATTTGTGAGCCTCTGGCCTTTCAGGGCTGAACTCATGAACAGGAGCCCCCCTTGGGCTGGATGTGGGAACAGGTACCCTCTCCGGGCTGAACTGGGAAACGGGAACCCACTCAGGGCTGGACGGGACCAGTGGGGACGAAAGAGAGAGGAGAGGGGGAAAGTCGGGTTCCAGCTCTGTTTCCCAGTCTATGAGGTCCTCCTCAAAGTCCAGCAGTCACAGATGTATTATCAGCTCACCCTCAGCCGCGGTACAGTGGGTGGAGCTC